GAGCAGAACTGGCCGCACAATGGCGCAGTAAATGCGACCTTTCAGTTTCAACGAAACATCGCATCTGCACTAAAGGTGTTTCAGACCTGTGTAAGCTGCATGGACTTTGGAAATGCGGGTGGTTACTTCATTGACTATGCCACCGTCATTTGAAACGCAGCTACCAAAGTAGGTGAAACATTCCACTACAGCTAATTCTTGACCGTCAACCATCAGCGCTGGGGTAGATGACACTCAGTCTTGTAGCATCACTTCGCACTTTAAAGATGCAAAGTGCATGTCGAAAGGAGATACAGGTTAGAAGAAACCGCGTGGAGGTCAACAGATGACGTGGAAACGAGGCATAAAGAAATGCACAGAGCGATGAGGTAGAATCGGTTTCTCTCGTCTTCCAGGTTGGGGTCCGAAGGACTCTGTAACTGGTTGGCTGGAGACATTAAAGGATATTGCGACTAACCGACAGCAGTGGCGTTCTTGTTGTCATGTTTTATCAGGTCAGAATGCTTGAAAAGATATGCATAAACACTTAGATTGTGTACTCTGTGTGTTGAACATGGGGGTTCTTTTTCTTTGTCTCCCTCCAATGAGGCCCAATCCCTCTCTGTCTTGTGCTTTATCACTTGATTTGTGTACATTGTGAGCTTGGCAGCGATCATTGAAGTTTGCTTCAGCGTATCTCGCTGCAAGATGGTGATGCTGACAGTGGGTCCCGTTAGGCTCCCAGGATGGAAACCCAGATATCCAAATCACCGGTGTTTGGGGACGCTGAGTGCTATGGATGAGTATTGCAAACTGTGGCGCTCGTGCATCTGCTCATTATCTTTGTAACCTTGATTCATTTGAATTCTCTATCTCATCTTCAACTGGGATGGTAATGTTCTATTATTCCCTCTGCTGTTTTATCCAATTGGGCAGCCAAAAGATAGCAACCAAAGCCGGCGCACAAAAGTGCGTTGTTAATGGTTGTCAAAGCTGAACTGAAACTAATCGGCAGCAACTTCCGACGTTTTTTATACTACTACCTCCACATGATAACTAAAATAAAGTGAAAAGCAGGACGGCATGATTGCACCTGCAATCTGTGCTGTAAAGGGATTCGCGTGTACGTTGCTAAGTCATTTTCCTTCCTTTGTGTCGTATTTCAGATCCGAAAAATCAAACGTATTGAGATGAACTGCTGTTTAATTTTGAGAGATGTGCCAGAAAATACGGAGTTGGGGATCGACATGAAATTTTGGCGTACGGGCAAAAATTTTCGCGGAATTAAAGAGATACCTTTGGGCTTTCACTACATCTATTTTAGGTGAGCACCAAAATTGTTTTTCATGTATATTTATCCTCGACGTATAAATACTAGTACAAAGTAGTGCGTGAGATTCTCAACAGGGGTTATCCGAATGGAAGACCCCTCCATTGAAAGTAATCCATGACCCGACTGGCATCTGATGGTGGTTTTCCGAAGTCGATCAACTGTCGACCGTAGACAGCACTTCATACATGCACACACTACGTAAATTTGGTCATCAGCTCTGGTGACCGCAAGACTGAAAGAAATCGTCATTCGCTCACCAGCTGCAGTTGAGTCTATACGTGGTGCTAATAGGCGCTAAAACCTTTTACGCATAATGAGAAGAAATTTCATCCTCATTAGGACCCACTCTCTCAAGTAGTAGTTTCTACAAGTATGTAAATTCATCGGATATTTCGGAAACCATGGTACGAATTTTTACAACTTCAACGGGAACTCACTCACCAACCCGGATGATTTCATCAAAGTTGTTATATGTTCAAATCACAATTGTCAGATGAAATTATTAACTGGGGAGGGATGCAGATTACGGGACGAGTTCATGAATGGTCTTTCACTGCTTTAATCAGTTGAACCCTTGAGTCACATGAAGCAACTTTGGAAGTCTGTAACTCGAATTACGGCACCTCACTGGTTGAACCACCTAAGATTCCGTTGGAATAAACTTTGTATGAAACCGGTTCATAAAGGAACATTGTTACTTGGAAAGCGAAAAGTACTTCAGCGAACACCGTTTGTAAGAAGTTTTCCCAGTTCTACCAAAGAGCCCTTTTAATGCTTGTCATTCAGACCCATATTTGCCGTCTACTACAGAACTTTGATTTATTTCGTCAACAGTTGATATCTGCCCATTGTTCTATTCAGTGCTGTCAATGCTGATTGCAAATCCGGTCAGCGTACGGGATTCGGCATCTGGGTAACACAACCGGGCTTTGTTGTCAAACAGTGGATTCCCGAAGAGGAAGGTAGGTTCTTCCCGATTTTGACAATTTCTCGCAGTTCTAAACTCACTATTTCAGATTTCATAGATGTGCAGCTAAACGCTTCAGATGTTGAACGATATATGGAGAACTTTGAAGAAATTTCGTTGTACCTTGGACCTTATCCGTCGGAATGGTAAGCAATGCAAGTAACTTGATAGACCAACGGCCAAAATACCGACAAAACTGACGAAATGCGAACGGGTCTTTTTCCAATTCGTCATCATTTATGCCTTCTAATGACGATGACTGTGTGACTAAATTCCTTGCTTGAGAATTTATTTTCAGTACCTTATCACATCCATGCTTTTCGTACCTCTGAAGTGTAGTTAGCTACTTTATAACCGGTTATCGTTACGGAGATTAAACATTCTGTGTTTGGAAGTATTGCATTCCTTGTCACATCGAAGGTGGAACTAGGTTATGTGCTGTATGTATGTAACAGTCACCTAACATATAGCACACTGTACAGCTTTTGCCTTAGGTCGGTACACGTGAAGATGAGCTAGACTCCCACAGATTACGCGGGGTCGAAGGTTTGGATACTGCTTACAGCTAGTAGCTTTTCATTTTTCGGTTTTGCAGAGAGCTAGAGAGAGAGAGATCCGATAATTGACGTCACATCAAACCGATCTCAACGGTATCCATTTTCTCATTTCGTTCGTTCCTCAGATAAAGCTAACAAACGACGTGAATGGGCTTAGTTAAATGTAGTGTACCCAGCGTATCAGTCACCTTAATCTATTTTGTTTCCCTCCTACAAACGGACCAACTTTCTGTCCATGCTAACCATTCTTATTTAATAGTTACACCTTTTAACCCGGGCATAAATGAGCAAAATTCTGTTTACTGTTTTCGTTTTACACCGGAGGATAACAACAGTAACCCATTTTTATTAGAATAATAATGTATACTGTTAATGTAAGTGCTAATTTTAATATGTTACATATATGCGTGTTCATTCAATTTTTAGAATTTAGCTGTAGCCCATCGAATAATGCCTGGGAACAGGGAAATGGGAATATAAAAAGCGGTGGTGAGATTGTTTCACACTCGATCTCGCGGTTGCTTACCGATGACCTTAACCCTTTTAACGACCACGCCCTTGTCTGCCTCACGGTTATTGCTACGTCCAGTTCCTCATCAATATATGAAAACATTGCTGTTCTATAATAATGCGAAACAAGAATGTTTTCACCTTATGATGTAGCATATAAAACATTGCAGTTTGCACCCCGTCCCTCCAATTGCTCAGCTCAGATGGGTGCGGCCCAAATCTCATTTTCTAACTGTTGCATTCATATGGAAAACAAGGGTGCTGTTTCATCCACTGTCACCACATTTTATCTCCGTGACTGTCATCTGTTTTCCCATTTTAGTCATCGAGATTGGGTTTCTCTAACCAGTCTTATTACCCCATGCACCATCGACCGTTTGTTACCACTATGCGGACGCGTCCAGTCTTGTACACAATTTCTGTCCGAGGCATCTTGTTCACAACAACGTCTGAATGCAGTTCGGCCGACTCACAAACTCGAGGGCAACACTGCTTCTGGTGATCTGGAAGACTTGCTTCCCAAGTTGGATGTAGTTCCTGGGACCGAAGTGAGCTACTGTTTTGGTGTCTATCTATTGGATCTATCCATTTACGTTTTCTAATCTGTTTGGGTACTGTTTGAAGTGTTATCTTCAGAGTAGCTCTTTTAAAATTCATCGACTTTGATGTTATTCAGTAAAATTACCTGTTCTCACTTTATTTTTTTCAAGATTCCTTGTGAGTACCATAAATCATGTAAATTTTAAAATGGTTCAGGATTCACATGTTTGCTTCATAGTTTACCATCTGCACGCTAGATTGAAGAAGTTGTTGCTTTTATCGCAAGATATAAGTTAATCGCACAAAGGTTAGCGTTGGATATGAAATACAAAGCGATTTGTTCAGAACGTCGGTTGTTAAATCACATGGTTTCTCTGTTCCCCGTGGCGTCCATTCAATTATCCACACGTTATCTACTGTTGATGGAACTTGGCAAAGAAGCTCGAAAATCAGTCAGACTTGTTTCTCAAGGTGTTGTCTGAAATACTCTGATCTCAAACCAATCGAAAAGGTTCGTATGAACCGCCAACACACCGCCTCCTGGTTGTGGCAGTGGTCACGGACTCTTTTGGTTATGTAGGTGTATTGGGTGAGTTGAGCGTTTGACTCCGCGCAAAAGGCGTATGATCCGATAAGCTGGACAACGACTGTCAATGAATTGTGGTTTCACAGCTCCCCTCTGCTTTGCCGGTCAGACTTTGGCTGGCCGAATTCTTCGGGAAAATTCACCTGCTTCCGTCTGAGAAACTTCACAGAATCCTCCCACACGCAAATTGTGGAACTTTCACCTTGTTTTAAAGATATTTTTACCTTGAATTGTTTGTGAAATCGGTTAGACTCAGTGTTCGAACACCATTGTGTACGCCCCATTCCTTGACTCTGTTAGGGCAACTAGACCAGCAATGCTGAGTTGGTTTAGCGTAAAGTTTTAAGTAATCGCGGTAGTCCGTTGAGGCCATTACTCGACCTCTGTAGGCTACGGTGGTTGGAATATGTGTTACGCATGTCCCCAAATGGGTTGTCACGGTGTTCTGTGTTTGCTGAGGCAGACAACGGAAGGGAGAAGGTCAAGGACAGTTAAACCAAAAACCTGGTACGGTGTTATGAAACCCACTAGGCCGGATATAAGGTTCACAACGATCACACTGTTGTTCACTCCGTCTCCTGATGAAGTCGACCTCTTGTTTATCAAAAAAAGAAATATTTTTCAGTTAGTGGATCAAATGAGTTATCCAACACAGCAGTTCATTCTGAGTACAGTGGTTGTAAAATCTGGTTCGAAACCTGCTGCTAAAACCGTACCACCGACTCAGTTTAATGATCGGCAGTTCTGCTGTTCTATCGTAACCTGCCGGGGTTTCCCTGCTCCGAGTCATAGGTTTCAGATCACCGGTTACTCTAGTCACATACTGGTTAACCAACACTACGGCGATAGCATACTAATACATACTAATCTACCACAACCGGAAAGGTGTAAGTGTGGTTCGTACGCCTCATTTTGGTTGGTTTGGAATCAGGGAAACCGAAATTATTCTAATCAGTTATCATTTGCTCGAATGTTTCATGATGGGTTATTTGTGAGCAATCTGGCCATAGGAGCTTGAGTGCTTGCAAATTGCGCGTTGAAAATTAAATCGTTTGCCAGAAATAATTATTTTTAGCCACTCCACCTTCACCTGTTGTTTTTATTTACGCACACGGTCAGATTCATTACACGGAAATTCATCCATATTAAAACTTCTCAATTCATCGTCTGGGTATGCATATATACATCATTATTTATGTCTTGCCTCTTCCCATATATTTCACACAGGTCAGATTCACTCTCATTCCAAAGATTCCACTACTTCCTCCTAATTGTCCACCTGCGGATGTGACAGCCTACTCAATGGATCGATCCTACACGCTGAACGCTGTGCTGTTGTCATTGTCCGCTCACGGCAATCCCGAATGGAGCCCGAATCGGAACGCATTCACCGATACCAGTTCTGAATGGGCTGTTGCAATTTCTCCGAGCGAGACAGAGCTCTTGGCCGAATTGCAGTTCAGCTATGTCGTGTTTTTACTTAGTAAGTGCGTTGGATTTACTTAGCCGTGCAGGTTGCTGCTGCTGCTGTTTAAGTTGTCTTGTGTGCCATGGCTGCGACTGTTTGGGCTGCTTGTATGGCTCTCGGTTCTCCAGCTGATGTACTGCTTGTCATTAGAGTTTACCATGAAGCACCTGGGATAATTTGCCTCAAGCAAGGTCATCGAGGGATTCATAGTCATATATAATTTTTTTCTTGGATGTCTAAAATCAGTTTATTCAAAGGGGAAGCAGTGCCTTCAATTTGTTAATTATCCATTACGGAATCGTCTTTCATGAATTCTCTTATCTTTCAGATCATGTGATGGATGGATGGAATCAGTGGCGTCGAATTCTTCAATTAGTCGCCAACTGTGAACAGGCTGTTTGTACTCGGCCACATTTCTACATGGGCTTGATCACTGTGCTCTATCATCAGTTGTTCAGTGCGTCCCAATCACGGCGTGCACAGTCCGACACCGTGGACACCGTGGACACATCCACGGCCGAATTGGTCGATCTGTTCTTCTCGGAAATCACATCATCCGATCCTAATTCGCATTTGACAGAGCCGGCATTTCTTCCCTCGGTGATGCGTACACTATTACGGAATGTACTCTCAGCGCGTGCCTCGTCTGACGCATCGGATGAAAGCAGCGGTTCAATTAGAACGCGCACCGTTCCTCTGGAAGCACTGCAGAAACGTGCTGAGGGTTTTTGTCACAGTCTTGAGCAACGGTTTCACTGGGGTTTAAAACCGGACGCGTTGAAAAAAGAATCCGAACCGACGGAATTGCTAGTGGACGATATCGATTGGGATGGTGATGAGGCCCCAACAATTGTGAAGTTGTGAAAAAATGGGCAGTAGAAATGATGTGTATATTGTTTGAAAATAAATCCCTATATAATACACGAGCACTAAATATAATTCCGCTTTCCGAGGGTTCCTTTAGAATTGACTCATCTTCATCATCGTACAACGAAATACAGTGGAGCGATTTTCACCGGTCGCCGTCAAGCTCACAATGTATACAAAGTAAGCGAGAAAACACAAGGTGGATAGGGTTTGGGCCCAATCGGGGGGAGGCACAGAAATACAA